CAGAAATGATTTTGGTGAGTTAAATACAGTAGAATTACCAGCATATTAATATTATATTTTAATGTTCTAATAAAAACCTTTGTAAAATTATAAACAGAATTTGACGTAATTTTACAATATGTTACGAATTCTTTATGATAAATAAAGAGTGTTGCCTGGTACGTATCAATAATTTAATTACGCTTATGATCGTTTCGATCGCGTAGTGATCATCCTCAGAGCTAAAATTCGAAATAGATTGTATTATTACATCAATTATAAACTATTAGGTATCAGTTAATACTAATATTATTTACAGGATGTAGGTATTGTATACAAGATGCGTAAGCGAACTGGGTCGTACATACCTTGCATCTTTCTGGCCGAAAACAAAGTTCTGCGGATTTTTGAGTGTGTGTCTGTTTTAAGAACTCAGCCGGTCGGCAGCGGGGGGGAGGGGAAGAGGGGTGGGGTGCGGGTGAAGGGTCGTAAGACGCGGGGAGCCGGTAGAGGCTTGAGAAGCGGTCGGGCGAGCGAAGGTCAGTGGAGAAGGGAGGGCGAGGGGTTAGGGGTGCACACTTTGTGCTAATTTGAGCAGAGGTGAAGAGAGTTCAGGGATTTGTTGGTTTATACACGTCATGTTCTGTTTTTGAGGATGTTGTGTGTATGTAGGGATTCTAATTTTATTCTGTTCCAGTACCCGTTTTCAATTTCTAGAATTCGGAAATTTGTGTGTTTATCAAATGTGTATTTATTTAAAATTAGGTGATCTGCAAAGCGTGAGACTGTGGTACTTGTTTTTCCATGCTTGTTCGTGTTCTTTGATTCTCTGTGTGAATTTACGGCCTGTTTGTCCTATGTATATGTCATTGATGCAGAACTTTGTTTTCGGCCCGGAAGCTGCAAGGTATATACGACCCAGTTTGCTTACGCATCTTGCATGCAATACCTACATCCTGTAAATAATGTTTGTAAAAATTGTGCTGCCACCGAATGGAACAGACTTCCCGACATTAGTTTACTATTTCCTTTGTTCTCGGCTAGCTATATGAACTTGCCACATAGTCTTGCCAGCTGCCATCTATCGCCACTCAAAGTTCATTATTTTGAAATGTTCTTACTTTTTCGGTTTATTAATTGCAGAACGAAAATATTATTTTAATAATAATAAAGAACTGTAAAATCTCATTCTAAATGGTAATTTTCTTTGAAAAATTCGGAAAAAGGAAATTTCGGAAATTAAGAAAAAGGCGCTTAAGCGCTACTATAAATTCGAAATTTGAAGTATTTTCACAGAAAATTTTTGAGATATAAAAACATTTGAAGTCATTTGAAAGACTCACAAATACAATAGTGTTTACAAATTGCTGAAAACGTGCACATTACTGACGTGAGAAATCTTAAAAAAATTACATATGAGTAATTTTTAAAAAACAAAACAAATTCTGCAAAAAGAACTGTGCCATATTAAAGAGTGCACTTAACACTATACCTTCGAAAAGAGTGAAGAAAAAAATTGGGGCCGTTTTTGTGAAAATGGCGTTTCAGTCTACCTGGAATTGCGGAATTTTGAGCTAGTTTTCACAGAAAACGAAAAGATTTTCGAGAAACTTTATTTGTCATTATTTAAAGCCTGTGTACAGTAATGTGAACACGTCACCAGTAGTATAAATTTTAACGACGTGAGAGACGAGTAAAAAAATACATTTTTTGTAATTTTTGAAAAAACTAAAGAATGGAGGAATGTGAAGTTTATGTCGCCTCATAGAGTCTATTAGCCACTGTCCGTAACGAAAGTTTAAATAAAACAATGGATCCGCGTTTGCAAATCTATTGCTTTTGTTTTTTTTAAAATTGCACGAAATATTGCGCGAAAACTACAAAAAATTTCAAAAAATTCGGAGAGTAAATTTTATTTCAAAGAAAAATATCTATCCTTGTATAAAAACGCTCCAAAAATTTCAACATTTTGATTTTTTTGGAATTCAGTGTTAATTGTAAAAATCGGATGTATGTCACCTTTATAAGCTTATTCCATTCTTACAAGAAGTTTAAAGAAAAAGTTTAGAGCCGTTTTAGAGAAAAATTTGAAAATGTCCCTTCTTGTAAAGTACCCCCAAATTTTGAAGGAAGTTTTTCAAACTCGCAACGATATCGACACTACTAATGGTGCAGACACATATTTTATTGCACCAAATTTGTGTACATACTCTCATAGATTTGGTCATCAATTTCAATATTTTTTGTCATAAACATCTAGGCTTAAATCATTTGTGTTAAAAGCGTCAAATTTGGTGTCAATAAAGACATTTCTGGAATATTTTTTTTAATTCAATAAGCTTGTTTTTTGTTTCAGATGGAGTACATTTTAAAGCTGGTATCAATGTCACCAATATTCATGCATCGAAATGCTGAATATTTTCCAGGCCCAGAAAAATTTGATTTTACTCGATTTGGGCTGGAAAATAATCAAAACAAAAATCCTTTTGCTTTTGTGCCATTTAGTGCTGGTTCCAGAAACTGTGTGGGTAAGTTAGTTACATAATCAACATGGAGAGATGATTATATTAAAATACTGCCAAGAAATGATCAAATGACATTGAAATCAAACTGAAATTTATAGTAGATCCTACCTGAGTCGAATTGAATTTTATTTTTGAGTTACGTAATTTTTTTGTGGTACTAAATTAATAAAAATATGAATTTGTTTCTATGAAAAATATTTTGTGGCTCAGTCACTATTTGTGTCATAGATTCAAGCAGCTATGATGATTTCATATATTTGAAAATTTGTTCAGCCAAACATTGATAGATAACTTCAATTTTGAAAGACGGTAAAGTAGAGAAGGCGATATTTATGAAGGCGCATTGTCATTATAATGGAATGTGAAATATTCAGGTCAAAGATTTGCTATGCTGGAAATTAAATCTACATTAAGCAAGCTATTGAGAAACTTCAAGTTTCTGCCTGTAAGAAGAGACATGATTTTATCATATGACCTTGTATTAAGAAGTTGGGGAGGAGAGTATGTAAAAATTGAAAACCGAAAATGATTTCTTTTCTCCTGTCTTCCAAGTCATTTTGTATTGAGATTGTAATATAATGCAAATTATAAATAAGATATTGGGTCTTTTCTTTGTATTCTTACTTATTAACCTCTGCAATAATTAGATAAGTTTGTGTGAAGGTTTTGAAGCAAATATTTTTAAATTGTCTGCCTACAATTACATGATTTTAAATATACAGTGAAATCTGACAACGGCCACCTCGTTAAGTGGTTAATGGTCCACTTTCCCGTAAGGCTAGTGCCAACGTGAGCTCCTGTGGCTACGGGAATTTCGCTCTGGCGGAGAAACGCCTCCCCGCAGCGGAGGCGCTTTGGTCCAAGTGCGCCTGCTGGCAAGCGTTTGTTGGTCGCTATTTTGCTCGTAAATAAGTATTATGAAACTAAGAAACTTTTTATTCAATTACCAAAAGACCATGAAACATTCCTAGCATTAATAATGTCGCCGTGCATTCAAGAGCTATTGAAAGGATTGGAACATGAATCAAAGTGTGTCTTCTTTGTATCTGACATCTTCAATTACTTTTTGTTCCTCTTCTATAGAAAAAAAAAGAAAACCGTACGGACACTCGCAGAGGAGCGAAACCGATTGCCCTCCTCTGGTTCGTTCGACAATAAAGACTCTCTTGGGCGCAAGTGCATCCCAGTGTTTGTATAGTTGGCCCGCAGACGCCGATGAAGGGTCGCGGGCGAAGGCAGAAGCCAGAGACAGCGCCCCCAAGGCGGATTGGCCTCGGCACGCCGTGCCGCTCGAGAAAATACTCTGCGCTCCTTCACTCTTACTTTTTACAGGATTTTTAATACAGAAGCCTTTTGAGATGAAGTTGAAATTAAAGAATTTATCGCTGTTGAGGCTACGAAATATTGCTCACATGAATTGAGAAAGCATTAGCAGAAACTGCAACGAACATCGCCTTATACGTTCTCATCAGACGAGAGAGTTCTGGAAAAGAAACGATACATAATTGACAAAGATTGTTACTTTGCCGAAAGAATCACTGAGTATTGAAGAGATTGTCATGGTTACCTCCGTCCGGAAGAAAATAAGTTTTCCTTACGAATTTGACGCTTGGTACTTAAGCATCCTGCGTTCTGGCGTTTGATGTCACGTAGACTGAAATGCGCTGGGAATTGCTTAAAACAAAAAATTATGGTCAATGTTTTAATTATTACGTTAAACAGAAACAATTTAAAAAATACAATATGAAATACGCAATTATTTTAAAAAATTCGTTAAAAGTTGCTTCTTTAGCTTTGATTTGAGATCAATTACAAGTTTTCATAAGTAATATTTTTGGAGCTACAAATTATGAAACATCTCGATTTTGGATAAAAATGAGTATGCGGCGGCGATGGTGTAACGTTTAGCGTATAGGATTGTTATACCAAGTTGGCGGGTTCAAACCCGATCGAAGGGGACTTTTAAGGGCAAAGAAATCCTTCGTACGACGTTTTTCGGAGGGAAGTAAAGCCGACTGTCCCATGTTAGTACATTTACTTGCATGTAAAAGATCCTCAAGCCTAAATGACGCCTCTGAGCTAAATTCAAATCGCCTGTTTCTCGCCCAAGAAATACCTCCTTTCTCTTCTAGTTGGTGAAAGAAAGGAGCGTAGCGAAATTTGCGTGGTCAGACGGAAGAGCGGGCCTGATGGCCCGAGTCTCGCCACGTAAAATAAGGCGCACATTCAATATCTTTCGATAATTATAACTTAAGACATTTTTGTCAACAAAATAAAAATACATGTCTTTTACGTTTCATAAAAGATAGTGTAAACAAAGTATTACATAATTTGGAAGACGTCAGATATTTTGCCTGTCTTATTTTACTTAGAATGACCCAAGTGTCATGTTTTGCGATCGACAGAAGCTGAGTTGAGAAATATTTTTCAATGAAAGAATTTGTTATATTGCAATGATGTATCTTATATCTTGTTGGAAGGAATAATTTTGATACCCGTACCTAGGAGTACCATTGATGCTTGTAAATGAAGTCTTAATAAAGTTGCTTTACTTTATCACAATAATCAGTTAGTCATGTGACGATTATGAAAAATTACCTAAAGACTAACCTAAAACAATCTTACCTCAATTAAACAATCTCACCTCAATTATAACAAATATAAATGGCAAATACGGGGGGAGACTTGAAGTAATTGCTATATTTGTTGAACTTCAGCAAAACTACACTAAATACCGATGTTTGACCGTGCTGATATATGGGAGCTGTTGCTGCGCTTAACTTATGCTGAAGAAGATGCTGAAAATGGTGTCATTCGGCTCGAGGGCATTCTTGGCACCTCCGGAATCTAATTCTTTTTTCTGATGAAGGGTGATTTCATCTGAGCGGATACAACAGCCAAAACAACCTCTTCAGAGTGCAGAAAACCTTCACCTTCTTTAAGAAGTGAATATCAAAGTGTGGTGTGGCTTGAGTTTCACAGTGTTTCACAACAACTCAACAGCGAATTCTAGATAATGCAAAGAAAACGATAGTTGTACTGTGATCACAAGCTATAAAACAGCAAAACACACCCAACACGGAACAAACAGAATTTACTCTCATGCAGATTCGCATTAGACTGAACGACAGCATCGTCAGATCTTTACACTCCGGCCTCTATTAAAGATGGCTGTGGGTGAGGTTGAACGTTTTTGACGAGACAGTAGGTCGAGGCCAAAATCAACCGAGATCATGAAACACACACACTTCGCTCACGAAATAGGAACATTTTGTCCACAACTGTATAATAATTGAATTAAAATATATGAACAAGTTTGGAATTTTATATTGCAGTAAGGAGTTTGATATCACAGAAATAGAAATATAATATAAAGGGTCATGAAAGCGGAAATATTACTAAGGGACACTTCGTTAAATTTTCATGCGTAAAGTTATTTTTATCACGGCAACAAGACATGGCAACAGTATTTTTTATCCGATATTAACTAGTAGTTCCACATCTGCAAGTACATTCTCGCGATATTGTTAATGGGTATGTAAAATTAAAATATGACAATTTGTGTCTTGCATTTCAACTTCCATTTGAAAAACTCCCAAAGAAATTAAGCGCAAAAACATATTTTTCTTTTTAATTTAAACGTTTATACGACTACAGATTTCAGCGATGTGATCGCTATTACTGCAAATGCAACTAGGCTACACCAAAAATATGTGCTTCTGAAGTTTGAGGGATATCTGGGATGACATTAGCCATTTTGAACAGCAACGTTGGCTTCGGAGACAGCATTTCTTATTGGGGAAACAATGTGAAGCACAAGGCCCTAGTTGAAACGCATGACGTAATCGAAATGCAGGAATTTTATTCGTCCAGAAATGCGACAGTTGTTCTGTGTCATAACATTCAGAACAAAAACTTCTCGGCCGTACTTTCACAATTACGCGAAAAACACTCAAATTGTCAAAGAATTGTTCAGGACCTTGTTTCAGAATATATCTTTAAAGAACATATTTCATTAAGGAATAGAGTCTGTATCATTAATTTTTTTGTTGTAGGAAGACTCCGAAACAATTTTGAACTTCTACAATTTTCGAAAAATAAGGGTTTTTCGGGAATATGACACCTGCTTGATTGTCCTGAACGGCGAACGGCGCACGGCGAACGGCGCACGGCGAACGGCGCACGGCGAACGGCGCACGGCGAACGGCGCACGGCGAACTGCGCACGGCGAACTGCGCACGGCGAACGGCGCACGGCGAACGGCGCACGGCGAACGGCCCACGGCGAACGGCGCACGGCGAACGGCGCACGGCGAACGGCGAACGGCGTTTATAGTTCTATCTTTACGATAAACAATATAACCAGGGATATGTATATTACTATTATTTTTAAGTTGAGTTTCAGTAATGCAAGCAAGGTCTATTTTGCGAGCATGAAGTATGTTTTTAAATTCATTGTATGGTCGTAGTAGACCATTTGCATTTCAATTTAGTATATTAATTTTTGTATAAATGTTCACTATGAAGTATATTTGGAAGTAATTCTAGAATTTTTTTTTTAATTTGGGGTACTAATATATTAATTATTTGAGGTGAAATTGGAGGAATTAATGAAAGGTATTTTTTTGTTGGTAATTGAAGAATATGCTGAAGAAAAACGTTTGTGATTCTTTAGATGTGTTTGGGATATTTGGAAAATTTTAGTAGTATTTGAAGGAGGAGGAAAATATATGTGGTGATTTGCGTTTAAATTTTGTTGGGTAGCACTTGATTGAGAAAAGGTTTGAATATGATGTATATTTGAATGAGAAGACGAGTTTTGAAAAGTTCTTTTCAATACAGGATTTTTGAAATATTCACATCGTCTATAATTCACAGAGTGATTACTTAGATAATTATCACATTTTGCAGGTAGACTTTTGGGTTTGTTACTTTGGGTGTAATGATGTTTATCTAGACATCTAACACATCTGGGGGAAATTTGCAGGATGCTTGCGTATGATTGATCTGTTGGCAGTTTTTCATTGTATAGGATGATTATTTTTGTCTAATTCTAATATTTAGAACGCTTTTAAATATTCTGGTAAGCTTTAGAATGCTGCGACCTTGATCGTTATCTACGAAGTCTATTGCACATATTTCTAACTCTTCACTTTTTTTGCCGAATAATCTGTACGAGAGAAACGTAAGTAGTAAAATCTTATTTTGAAATACTTTGAATTGAAGATATGAATGATGCAAATGGTGCAATAATATTTTGATTTTTTTGAATGATAATTGGAGAAATTTTAATGTTTTCAATAATTTCGTTGTCTTTAGTTTCTGATGAATCTGAATCATCCTTAGTTAAGATAAGGACTCGAACTGATTAGATGTTGAAATATTGTATTCGGTGCACTGACCTTCATCACTTGGTTTCACTCTTTTCCTCTTATTTTTCTCACACTCTCCACTTTCAGCAGTTTTATTTTGAGTTTGGACGCTGTTGTCTGTTGAGAGTTCTTGATTGTTACTATTTGCTGACTGACTAATTATTTATTGTTGAACTTG